ATGAGATTTTGCTTGGGAAAGGGGAAGCAGAATTGTTTCACTCTGTAACTGCGTTGACTTGTATGCAAGAGATCTAACTCATGATCACAATAACCTGCCAACATATATGCCAACCGATCACAACGCGTTTTTTTCAGTTCGTTATGATAGGGGGGTTTTGCATCAACTTATTTTCAGACTCATCATTTAATTTTTTTTCGTGCAATTTTACTTTTTCCCTTTTCCGCATATTTTTTTTTCAGAAGCCCTTTGATTCTCATTTTCGACCATGATGTCTTTTGATAAGCAACTCAGCATCTTAGACACATACAAACGATTGTTTGCTTATTCACCACAGCTATGCAAGATCTCGAGTCACAGCGATTCTTGATATATTCTTTTCCCACATGAATGAAATATTTTCTTTTGGAAAATCTTTAATAAGATATATAGAGATACCCTGACACTATTCGTTAGTTGGAAAAAAAAAAACTTTTTTAAAACAATGAGATTGTAATCCATATTAGACTAGAAAGTGGCTGTCGCGGTGTTCACACGTGAGTCAAAGTTGTGTTTAAGAAGAAGCATGCTTCTAGTCAGGTACCATAAAAAGGATCTACAAGAATATATTGCTTTTTGCACGAACACTGTCAGCACATAGAGAAAAAAGAATTTGATAATGGACTGCGCCATCTCGAGAAAAACTTAGTAACCTGGCTGCACGCCTGCGAGAAGGGCATCGTTATTAGCGCTGCGGCAGAGTTCTGCAGGGGATCTGGCACTAACACTTTATCAGTGCAACTCTCAGACATCTCGCCGGCCAGCGTTGCTCAGGGCCTCAAACTTTCTCGCTGGCGCAGAAGTGCTGTTTCTGAATTACTTTTAATGAGGGCCTATTCGAGGCTACCAAAATGGTAGGTCACCCCAATCCATGGTTTACAAATGGTGGCTGTTCAGGATGCTGCAAAACGGTTTTTGTTCGAGTAAAGAATGCAGTTACTGTCCAGCTCCTAAAAAGCACCCTAAGAAGGTATCAACCCTCAGCAAGAAATAGAATTAAGTAGAAACTTCAATAAATTCGAAAATCCGTTACTTTGGAACTCGATATTGTTTCTAAAAGTTTTGAAATGTTAGATAATGCAAGAGATCATCATCTGGAGGGTTGAAGTTCAAGAATTGAATACTTTTAAGTCACATCTCAAGCAGGAAATGACGTCAAAAAACGCGTTTTCTGTCGCCAAAGAATTGAGAGGTTAAGTCCAATTTTCATCAAAACTAATCTACTCTATAGGTGTAAAGCTACCGGACATTATCTGAATTGTATGGCCGGCATGTTCCCAGGACTTTTTCGTTTTTTGTCTACTGTTTTATACCATATCTACTTTTGACAAATCTGTCAGAAATAAAACTACTAACACGAAATTATGATTTAAAGTTTCATGTAGGCTCAGGGAAAGCTCAAGTGTGCCGGTAAAGCGTTTATCTAACTTACATCTTACCCCCAAATATTCAAAACAATAAATCTTGCACTTTTAATTTCGAAGCGGTTGCACAAGATGGTTCCCTGAACAACCTTAATATAGAGAGAACCTCAGACCTAAGACTAAAAGACGCTATAAAAAATGCAAAAAAAAAAAAAAAAAAAAAACTAAACATAAACCATTAGACGAGTAAATACTTCATAAAAGTGCGTTAGTAAAGTGCGGACTTTATAAAGGAGTTGCTCTTGTGATTTGCGTCAAAAGTCTTAAGTGAAAGCGTTTGACAACGCTAGGGGAACAATATCGCCCGGAAAAAAAAAACTATAAAGCGTGAGTACTTAAAGGATTGGCCCAGAAAGCTTTCATTTAAGATTAATGCATTAGCTATATCCATCAGAAACGAAGCATAGCTTGATTGAGTAACCTGGGTAAAGTTATTCTGCCGTAATGATGACAAAGTCAGTTGATTCAAACTTGTTCGCTCTGATCTCTTCTTAGCCGGACTAATCCCGAAATCACATTTTTGTAAGGTGAGTAAAAACATTCTCTTGAGTTTAAGATGGGAGCTTGTATCGCAAGATTAGTGAACGATCCAAAGGATTACACAAACAAAGATACTATCATGATGATGAAAATATCGCTTTATGTGCACTTGCTCGTTGAAGATATTCTTTGTTTCAACTAACTACTCGCAATTCACTACTGGGTTTGGGTTAGGCGGACGTAGAGAGCGATCTTCTTCTCTTTACTGCCGTCGTTTGGCTTTAATTGTCGAAAGGCTCAACGAAAATTATGGGTGCAAACAAGAGATTATACTCTCTCTTGGTACAAACTGGTACGAAAATGGCGTACTTTGGTGGAATCTGCACCAGGCTTCCCATTTCCAGTTATGGCTGACTTGATTTGAAATTTTCCAATTTTTTCTTTTACACTTACACTACAACACTTTGGCTGCTGTTTGCACCTCAATCCACTGCACTCTCATATCTACAGCGAAGAAAATTTCGTAATGTTTTTGATGCAAGAGCAATATTTCCTATAAGCATGCTCCAGCATTTGATACCCTGAAGAATTTGTAGTTTCCTCTAATTTCACCACTAAGTTTAAGGTCTCTTCAATGTCTTTATTCACCAATGGCACAGTTTTATATAGAACAGTTTAACACCAACATTGAGTCATTGAATGAAACCTGAGGAAATGTTGAGTAAAATGTTGTTAAACGGAAATATTACTTGGCAACTAAGAGGAAATTGGTTCATGTGAAGCCAGTTGCGTTAGTTTTCGATACGAACTTAAGAAACAAAAAGCTCTTGTTATGTAATTGGACCTATTTTGAGAAATGTGGTGCAGTTAATAAAACTGAGTCACGGAAAACGTTTTTCGAGATTAGTTTTGCTCTTGTATCTGTGAATATGGAATGTCTAACAATAGTTCCGTTACTTACTTAATTGCCTATAACGAAAAAAAAAAAAATAACCACAACTATATACATGCCAAGATAGCTAATATATACCAAAGCTTGATCGTGAGCTAGCATTTTCCCAAAGCAACTGACTGGATCATTAGATATAGATCACTCAAATGTATATACGAGCTTGCTAATAGATAATTAATCAGTTATTTTTTAAAACTTGTTTGGCAGTAGAACGAATATTAGAAACGTTTTTATCGGTTTGAATGTTTGCCATGATGCATTTGTACATTATTTTGTGTTTTGTACAAAAAGTGTTTCTTTCAATTTATGATGCAGCTAGCACTTCTAATTTGAACATTTGCATGTGGTGGCGGTATCTTCCACTGATTGCATTATTTTCTCTTCAGTTATATTGGACTGAAAATCCAGTGCATCGATATACTGTAATGCTTTGTGTTTTCTAGTTCATTTAACAAGAACACAACCTGGAGGTGCGATTAATTTGTTATGGCAGACTACCTCAGTTCTATGGTCAATACTAAGCAGTGGATCTTTTGGCTAAAAATTTCAATTTTTTTTCCTTTTTTTCATCATTATTATAGTGTGTATTCCTTTTTACTGTTCAGACTAAATTTGATCCCTTTCCCACGGCCTATAACACTCGAGTTCAAAGAGTCTAGTCCCCACTGAAACTGATTGTGACGAACAGCCCGTGATGAATCATGAGTCATTATGCAAACTTGAGGAAATAAAGAAAAAGGTTTTAAGGCGTTAATGGCCCGAATTAGTTTTACCTAATTAGGCTAATAGCCCTACAGAAGCCAAAGGTCTAACAGATTAAAATGTTTTCAAACCATATGTTTATTCGTAACTATGTTACGAGGTCTTGTTTAGTATCACCTCTTGAGCAATAATTAGTTTTAAAACATAATTTACATGTGCTACGAGATTATAGGGCATTGCATTGGCGCAGGAGTTTATAACCACTTGATTAGCTTAAGTCGAAGCTGAGGGCATTAATAGAGTTGAAAGTATTGTTTCTGTATCTATATTACTATTAGCCCTCCTCAGGGGTAATCATGAGTCAACAAGAAGCACAACTGTTACCAAAACAGTCATTAAGTCACGGAATGAAATAATGCATGCGTCCAGACATTGAATAATTTTGCATTTGCATTACCATAATAAAGAGAGCAATCCGAGGAATCAGGCTCAAAAAAATGAGACACCTGTTTGGAGCAACTGTAAAACTTTATCAGTCAATTGTCATCCCCTATAGAATGATAAAAAAGGAGAGATCAACAAGGCTCAATATGGTATGAATTCAAGTTTAGTAGACAATGACATTCTTTAAATTTGTATCCATTCCTGTCGCGAAGAAGGCGATTCATAGCTTGGCTCGCTGGATGCTATACTTTAGTCTTTCCTGTAGCAATTACAACTTCAAAATAATTTATTTACATTCGCATTGTAGCTCGTCTTTTGTCGTTTGCATGCTAATTTTCTTCAACTTGAATGGATACCTTGTGTCACGTGACATTAACTGTGATGATGTTTTGCCACGGTTTCCTGTAAAGTCAAGACAGATTTGACGCAGATCGCAGCTTTTCACTTCTCAAATAGACTACGAAGGCTATACTAGAAAACACAAACTTTATCTTAATTAAAATAGAAATGGATATCCGTAACATACTCAAAGGGTTTTGTCGTTTAAGGGATGTTGCGACCAATATCTGCCATGGACCTTGTTTCGAGCAGTTGTCAAAGAGATTTACTAGCAAAACTTGCTACAATTTTATTTTATCAACGAACAGACGGGAAATTTAGCCTCTGCGGGTTTATAATGTGCCATAAAAAGTTACTAAACCAAGCAAGCATAATATTGTGGTAGTTAGGTTGAATTTAACACCTATATTATAAATGCTGCGTCATCGCTGGCCACAAACCACGCTTTTAGGGAATATTCGAGTCGTTCAATATTGAGTTCGATTCAATTCTTTGTTTATTTTTCCAATTTCATGTTTATTAATCGATTTTAATGCCTTAGGCTACAGACTGGGTCAATACATATCTAATCAAACATCGTTCTGTTAAGATATTACTATTTTTTCTTTCACTTGTTCCTTGCTTGGATTTCCTTCGAGATGAGTTTTTTAGGTCCCGGCAATCTCAAGTAGCTTTATGCGCTCCTTGCTATTTACAACTTACTGCTCCTGGAATGTCCCGTAAAACTCAGTTAGCGGCACTCCGCTGTGTGTTTCGAAGCAATTGGTGTTTAATAGGCTGATCGCTTGATTACTCGTCACTCCACATGACAAACTATCAAGAGTTAATTAATCATCGCTTAATCTTTACACCAAATGCTCAGCAGACACTAAACTCAGACATATTCACCTTGTGAACAAGACTCAACAAGTCTGCACATGCCGTGGGTGGCGACCTTAGAGTGTTTCATAAAAATTCAGTGGAACATCTGGCTATGCTGTACGTTTGTTTAGGTAAACTCCACCAGTAATTAGTCTCCAAGAGGCCTTTGAACAAAGCCTAACTAATCTGTCTTAATCTTTTCAGCTTTGAGCTTTTGGAGCAAGATTCCAACAGCATTGTCCTGCAGCCAATACTCACCGTAATCCAGCTGACAAAAACGGAACAACGGTATAACTAGGGACAATTTTTTCGATCATCCCTCCTGGTTTATGAAGGATAAGATCTAGCGTATCCATCATGAAGCCGGATTTTGTGGACGACAATAAGGTTCCCGAACTCAGTAAAACTACTCAACCGCTATCGTACACAGCACTGCATGGCCGTGTTTTGAAAACTTCAACCTCGAATGATTTACGAGGTCAAACTTTATTTGCACAGACTTTACCGAAGAACGGGCGAGTTCCTTCGCCATTAAGGAAGTTCTCAGAGACTTTTAAAAGAAAGGGATTCGCTAAATCGAGCGTGACCGCGATGAAATCAAGGAATGGGAGTATTTCAAGTGATAGTGGCGAAGGGTCTCTTTCTGATTTTCAGGCAGCAACAAACGAACAAGAAAAGTTTAGCTTTAAGAGCTTGGGACGCTATCTGCCAAACCAAGACAAGAGAGAAAATGGACAGGAAACTCCTATAAAGAAGGGTTCGAAAAAAGCACAAAACTTGACTTTTCGCAAACCACGTAGATGTAGTTCACCAGCTACGCCTCCGACTAGACAAAATTTTGAATACGGTTTTCAGGCTGGAAGTGCAACGCCGGCTTTGAAGTCGAACTTGAAGGGTCGTTTAAATCGTCAACGAGGGTCTTCGTTGCCCGACACTCTAGACGGAGGTGCTAATAGTATTACTACCAATAATATCCGGGACTCAGGTACTTTTAGTATCGGCTGTTTGGAAGAAGATGACGAGGAATGTCAATATGGCAATGATGTGCGTAAATGTTTTGATTTAACGCGACCACTATCAAAACATGCCAAGTCTTCCGTTTTACTCATTTCCAATCAGAACAACCACGAGTTCGAGTACATCGAACTAAACAAACGTCTCGATAAGGAAACTCTACAGGCATCAGCAGCTATTCTTGACGAAGAAGGGATGACTATTCTACATCGAGCCGTCCAAAACGGATTTGCCAATCTTGCTAAGTTCCTCGTGAACAGTGGTGTATCAACCGAGATTGTGGACTTGCAGGGAAGAACTGCTCTTTGCCTAGCCTTCGAAATCGGAAATTATGATTGCGCCGAGCTATTACTCAGACTCGGGGCAAATATTAATTTCGCCATGAAAGGTGGTAAGACGATTTTGCATCAAATGGCCCAAGAAGGAGACTACAAAGCAGTACAGCTGCTAGTGAAAAATGGAGCGGATTTGAATATGGAGGACGACAAAGGATGGCCTGCTTTACATTATGCGTTAAAGAGAAAGGATCTTAAGTGTGCGGCTCTACTCATGACCTCTGGAGCAAACATTCATCGCTACACAGAGAAACGAATTCAAGAATTTTCCATGTCCATGGAAATTGTGAACATCGGGCGAGTCAGAATGGACAGTACTCGAACAGTTGATGAAGACTTGTCACCCGATCTGGAAGTTACCATAATCTAGCTGTGAGACAGGCCCTGAGTACACTGCGGATTCCTTCTGTTTCTCTATCTTTTTCTCGCGTGTAACGCCATTTTGACGCAAACATTTAATCTTGAATAACTGAATAGAAGTAGCGCTAATTTTTGAAGGTATATAAAGTGTACGTGTTAAATTTACGGTGACATTTCGATACTGAATAATATTTTACTAAAGTGCCACATTATTGAAGAGCACGTTGCGCCTGTGTTGTTCCAGTATTTTCTCCATTTGCAAGCGTTTGTAACTGAGTTTTTTTTGCTGTTGAACTATGTTAATCTCTTTTTAAGAGATCCTTAGCTATTCAGAAACTCTAAACTATGATAATATGATCGTCTACGCACAAAAATAAACTCAATCTAAAAGCGAAACATTCTTAATGCATGAATCATGGCTGAGAGAGTTCCATGTAAACATGCTCAAATAGTTGCCACTGTAAAATAAAATGTTTATAGTTACAGAAGCTGTAGAAGAAAGAGAGGATCGCAAATAATTTACTTCAATGATAGACAATGCAAATTATATGTTTATAATTAAGTTACTAAAATTGTTTGTTCAGAGTTTGATGGACAAAGTATTAAAATTAATTCAATGATAGACCGGTCCGACCTATTTATGTTTGAGGGATTGGTTAATTAAAATGAGCTGAAAACTCCTTGCTATGATTGAGATCCCGTCTTCTGTTCGCCCTGTGACCTTAAGTTTGAGAAAATACTCCGGAAAAATTACTTGACAAGAGTAAGCAGAGCAGAAACATTGATTAATTCCAACTTCTTAACTCATTGATTAGCTATGACGAAGGGCTAGCGCTCGAAACGTCAGCCATTCTACATCATTAACTCAGTCGATAAAACCACAATTACCTAGTTTATTGGCTAACAAGCTCACTTTGCCGAGCTTTAATTCGATCAAGTAAATCTGATTTACATTTGTTTTTCGACGGAGGAGGCTGGAAGCTATTTGCCTGTTGCTGTCCTAAAATCTGTGTTCACTATTTTGTTTACGACATTGCCCGTATTTATCATAATTATCTTAACAGATAAAAAATATGTTTTCCATTTTTCATCGTTGGGTACTGCCGAGACTACGTCGCTTAATTTCTGCCGGGGTCAAAACAGTATGGCATTTCTCACTCACCGATTCGTTTTTTTTTTCAGGTGTACCCTTCCAAGTTTGTCTATGATTAAGTACTACATGGTATCGTATTGCTAATTCATCTCAGTGTTCAAAATATTGAGATAAATTAACCAAAATAACTGAATTTTTTTGCAGTAAAAACTTATTTAATGATGCTGAATACGACCTGACTATTTTTCAATTTTGTATTTCACAAAACATTTATGGATACACTACTTTTCAACAGTTTCATTTTAATGAAGCACCTAATTGTCTCTCGATGGACGTTCTGTAAAGTATGTCGTTCAGTTATGATGAAAATGAATTATGTTTTGTACCCGGGGGTGCATAGCATTAAAAGAAGCTATTATTTAGTCAGTACCGCCTATGGTACCGCCGAATGCGTCTTGTACGTTTTTCGCCGTTTTCAGATCAGTAGTACATAATTATTAAATCACCGTGGCTGATATGCGCGCATATCAGCTAATATTATAAAGTACCACTTCATATCTTGTTAAAAGCAGACAATGCTCGATTAAATAAAGCATTTGAAAGACGAAAAAAGGAAAAACTGAAAGGGGGCTATTGAAATTCAGTTAATGACTTACTTTTTTCATTGATAAGTTCTGAGGGGCCTATCTGTCAACTGTGTCAGAAAATAAACTTTTCTAAAACGGAATGCCGGTTTTTTATGTTAACAAATATTTATGAAGGTATTGATAAACGTTTATGATAGTTTTCAGGTTATCATTCAGGTTATAAAAGTTCCCACGACACTTTAATTTGCACGTCATCTGGCCAGAATATTCGTGTCTTTTTCCATGTAAGGCATTGATACTGTTAATACAAAAGAGATCTCATAGATAATCAAGACGCCATTGATATCGGATTCGATTTAAGCCACGAAAACAAGACTTTGCAAATGAAAAGAGGATTTCGTCAGCCTGTAGCAAACTTCATCGTAAGCCGCCCTTGGGGCTGGCGAAGACACAAAGTGTGTTCTCGTTTGCTTTGAAAATGTTCTCCTTTTTTAGGAACAATTCCCACCTCTCTATGAAAAATTTTTTTCTCGTAATATTACAGCAAGTATTGACCGGGAAGCCCCATATTTCTCTCTAAGGAATTGGTCTATACAGTTAATCTTATTTTTAGAAAATATACAATATCATAAAATTTAAGATCTCAATTGTTCGAGACTTTCTTGACTGCAATCATCATGTTTATTTAATCTTTCAGGAATCTATTATACTTCGTGTCTGCCGGTTGGTTTCAGAACGTGTGCAATGCCGGAAGAAACCGTTCGTTCACAGAAACGATAATTTAATCTTCTGTAAACACAATAATTTGAGAATCAAACATGACATTGAAACACTTTATTGGGTAAAATATTGCTGAAAAAAATGCCTTAAGAAAATATTTAAAACAACGGAGACTATAAGTATACAAAAGCAGCATATACTTTTTACGCGAGTCAAACTTTTCAATGAAAAATGCTCGCAGTCTTTCCATTTCTAGTAAAACAATATAACACAAAATAATCAGTCTGCGATACTGACACACCGTTCACAAACGCCAACTTCATTAGTTAAGCCATAAACGAGAATTGTAACGCAAGCTCGAAGTCACTGTTATTGTTATAGCTAATATATGAATGATGTAACGGTAAATACCACTCGCTTCAGCCAGCCAGTAACTCGACATATTATTTCCTTATGTCAGTACATCACAGGTGGTTTGTATAGCCTGAGTCTGGTTCAGTCTCCTTCTCGGTTCCTGTTAAGTGTAGAGTAAGCGACAAGAAACGGAAAAATCTTTAATTATCAATGACATTGAAATCAACAATTTTGGCTATGCCTCGAGTATTTCTATAATTCCTTCTTTGAAGGTTTTACCGTCATTTCATCTTGAAGATAAAATATTCTAGAGTATAGCCCAAATGTGTTGGTTGCTACGATCTACGCAGAGGCATAATTAGATGGGAATGGTTTGTAGGAGGAGGTGGGGGTCTCTTGGATTTCAGAAACCCCTCGAGCTCATTTGAGCTTTGGCCCTGACTTTACATTTAAGAGGGAGGGAGCGAGTATCGCAGTTGAATTCCTCGAAATAAGCTTTTCATTTCGAAAAAAGAAAAAAAATTGATTTCGAAACAGATCCCGCGATGTATGGGAAAAGGAGGAACTTAAAGTCTGGACTTGCTCTGCTTCTCAGTTGCTGACACTCTAACTATGTAAACGGGACGTCACAAGACTGCAGTATTCGTTGATGACGTGTGTATTATATTTACAAATTTCAACATTTTTTTTAACTCTACTTCCTACTCTTCAGGAATTGATCCTTTATTACCTGATTTCGTGGAGTTCATCCATATAAAAATACCCACATAAACGCGGCTTTAAGTCAGCTAACAAACTGCATCTCACCTTTTTCCCCGAAGACTGTCTGATGAACTTGAAAAATTATAACAAGTAGCAAGCTAAAAGCAGCGAGTGAGCTGGCCACGAATGAGAACACATTTTGTACGTAACTCCCACACTCTTGACAATCGGAAGAATCACTAGGTAAAAAAAGCAATCATTTGATGGAATAACTCTTTTTAAACAACATTTATTTGCTTTCGTAATTCTTTTACATAGCCCTTGAGCATGATTACTTTTAGTAATGAAAATCCCCCCTTCGTTTACCCTACATTTATATCTTGAGTCAATTTCTTTTGTTTCGCGAGAATATCCCATTGAATTCAAAGCTCTTGGAACGCATTTTATGCGCCATGAAATGCTGGTAGAATTTATAGTTGGACAGGATGGAATCAGGAGCCTGGTAAGGACGAGGGCTGCAAAGGAGGAGAGGAGAAAAAAAGACCAATAGCAACAGCATGGAATAACAAGAAGAACAAAGAATAAAGAAAGGAACATGTATAACACCAAATAAAAACAAAAACAAAAAAAAAAAAAAACAATGCGAAAGAAAATGGAAGAAGAAATAAACTTAAGCAAAACAAAGGACAAAGAAGAAAACAAATCAGGCTGGGAACCCTATTTTGTTAGAAAGTCATTTATATCTTGCAGTAATAAAAATAGTTCTTATCTCAAACAAAAAATCCAAATCTACCTTCCTTTAGGAAATAGAACTTGTATGACGAGATACAGAGTTCCTAAGGTCAGGTGGGAGAAAATAACTAAGACAGAGAATACCAAACCAGAGCTGGCCTGCAGGGAAAATGGTACAACAAAAAGGATTAGTTTTAAACAAAAAGAAAGGTAAAATGAATCTTTGTTTCATTTATTATTTGTAGCGCGGTCTTAGTAATAGACCGGTAATAGACCGATTGGTCTTAGTAATAGAATTCAACTGGATTTGTACAGTTGTCACAAGTACAGTAAGATTTTGGAGAATAGACTTAATCAAGTGTTCTCCAACTTACTTTATTGTTAATAAGTTCGGTTGCAAAGCTAAGTGCATTAACAAACATGACGGAGGACCCAAACCCCAGTAGAACAACGGCCGGGTAAGTGAACACCCTCGTTAACTGGGTAATACGCATAAACCACAAGCACGATCCAATTACTGTCAGAGCAGCCACAATGAAAGACCACTGAAACAAGATGGGAGCTTCAGAAGATAGCTAATACATATCATTAAATTCTGCCTTCGAATATTACTTTTCCAGTGTTCTGATTAGTTGACTCAGTTCAGGACATCAGTTAATAAGCCGAATTATCTTTTATGTAACGTAATCCACTCAAGCTTTGCTGAGTTGGATTTCGTTGTGTTTAGCAGAAAGAGAACGCTTCTCCGGAGCAACGGAAATTAAGTAACGACTAGAAAAAGCCACAAATGAAAGTGCGATATGTCACTTTCTAATGGTATATATCTTTGACGTTTTACCTATATATTGAAAAAATTGCAGTTGACTTCAGGAATTCATGGTGTAAAAAAAGGATAGCCACGTCAGAAAAAAGAGCCAATTAACTTCAAAATTTCAAGTAGACTCGTAAATTTTCCCATGAAATGTCTCGCTTTGGCTAGAATTTTAGTTACAAAAGTTTATTTATGAAATCCCTTTGAGCAGCCATGATATTGGCTTCCTCCGTTTGTTACCATACAGCAAAATATTTGAATGTGCACAAAAGCTTCTTGATAAGCTTGAAGTTTTAGAAATGGGACCTGGAACCGAACGCTTGTCTCAATTGAGGTTTTGCGCACGTCATGTGATATCATAACAACCGTAACTACGCCGCCATCTTGCATGCCAGGTCCATTGTAGATAAAGCAAGATTCTGATGGTATTTCGCTACGATGGGAAGATTTTGCTGCGTTTACGGATGCTCCAGCCGCTCAGATAGAGACAACCACCTTTCTTCTTTTTTAAATTCCTACTGTAATTAAGCACCAGGGCGTGCTCACGGAAGAAATTCGGCAAAAAAGGCACGATAGATGGATCTCAAACATCAGGAGAGATGCAGTGAAAAATGGCGACGTCAAGTATCCACATGTGTGTTCTATTCACTTGCTTGAGGGTGAGTCTTGAAACAGCTGTAATGATTTAAATCCTTAAATGCTACTTTTGAAATCGCTGAAAGCTAATGTCTCATTTTTATTTCTAGGAAAGCTGACAGATCTTTACGACGGAACGCATCCGAACTGGGCGCCGAGAAAGAACATAGGACATTCTTTAAGTTCTGTCACGAAACCAAGTTCCAAATCTGCTCTAGCTCGACAAAAACGAATCAAGGAAAGGCAAAGCAAGAAGCGGAAATGTGTTCAAGAATTGTTTAAAGAAATGGACTGCGAGAGCGAGATGAACATTATCGGAGAGGGTGATAGCGAGATGGGGAACATTGATGTCGAAGCATCTGCGATGGAAGAAACACGTTTACTCGCATACACTTCTATTGCCTTTCAAACTGACCTTTCTATGCAGGACATAGAGGAACTAGAAAACTTGCAACAATCACAAGAGGATGGAAATTCGGTCCTATCAAAGTCTTGGTTTGAAGCTGACGAAGAGAGGGTGAAATTTTATACCAGTTTGACAGCCATGAGTGCGATGATGGCTGTTTTTGACCTCATAAGTCCTGCACTGCCTGAGTGAAAATCAATCCGTAAATTTCAGCAATTCCTCATAACCTTCAAGCATCTCAGACTGAATTTCTCAGTGCAAGACTTCGCCTACCAATTTGGAGTTCATGCATCTACTGTGTCAAGAGTGTTCCAGACCTGTGTGCATGTAATGTTTACATCTATGGCATTTTTAGTGAAATGGCCAGAGAGAGAGTAACTGAAACTGACATTGCCAGCCTGCTTCAGGGCTAAGTTTTCTTCATGTGCTGTCATTATTGATTGCTTTGAAGTTTTTATTGATAGACCTTCATGCTTGCTTGCACGTGCTCAGACATGGTCCTCGTACAAACACCTTAACACAGCAATATTTCTGATTGGAATTATACCCTAAGGAACAGTGTCATTTATTTCAAAGGGTTGAGGAGGACGTGCATCTGATAAGTTGTGCGCGTCGTGTTAGAGTTCTGATAGTTGTGGCTTTGTGTGATGTAGGGTTTTAGGATGACTCGTCTAGTAATCTGTCGGTGTGTGTCGGTTTCCTGTGTTTATGTGTACCCGGACTGATATTACAGTGATGTATTAGCAAGTACATTGAGTTGACTGCCTTCCTCCATTTAATTTGAGGTTCCTCATGTTCGCTAGCTCCTTCTCTGTCTCTTTTTTTCAAATATAACTTACTTTAGATTTACCAATTTAATCAAACTCATTAACTTCTGATAAAATTGCAAATGACTGTAATAAGAGAGATGAGGAAACCAAAAGTGTCTTTTAATGGTGCATTTTGGGTAATTAGAATTTACCATAGAATCTGCAGTTGACTCAGAAAGCGCCTTGTCCTTTGAATCCTCTGAAGGTTCTTTGGTTCCAAAATGGAAAATAGCAGAGCAAACCAGTCCTACTCCTGTCAATATCAGAGTTATCACCTGTAGATGAACAGACGTTACAACTGTAGTTAAGTGACTTTAATGATAGACATAACAAATATATAATTGTCCCAAGCGATAACCCTAATTAAATTAACATGAGCCCATCTACCACAACCTGAAAGGTCGGATGCTCGTTGTTATTCTGTGTCTCAGCTGAAGGAGCAGGAAATAGCACAGGAAGAAAGGAAGTAGAGAAAAAAATTAACACTGAAACATTAATAATCAGTGGTAGCAATAAAATCATGTGGATGTCATTAATTACCATAAAATCCATTGAGCTTTCTTTTGTTAACTGATCACGGTTATCTTGTCCGAGAATAAGCCATGCCACAAGGTAGGAAACGATGCCAGTTAAGTACATGAAACCCGTTCTGCAAATAGGTAGTTAACTGCAAGTGAGCTTTGAAAAATCCTCACACTTTGTAAAGGTAAGAACAGCCTAAGAATTTACTTGTTAGTAATTAAATGTAACTGTTTCTGAAGCGAAATAAACTTCGACAGATACAAAGATTTGTCTGAAGTAAGATCTTGGTAAGACTTAAGGCCGAGATATGGACGCACTGACGAAACCGGGAAGTCATAATTCATAAAACCATTGTCATTATGATTATATTTGTTAGTTTGATTTTGATTAATTATCAATTTTACTATCATTATTATTACTATTGTCATATTGTCATTATTGTTGTTTTACCCCAACCGCTTTAAGTAACGAGAACGATCGTGACGAGGGCAGCGCAACTCAGACAATTTTATTTGGTTCACAGCCAGGACTGTAAAAAAAAAATAATCGTAATGGTTCAAGTGCCTTGATATTGTATCTCTTGCTACGTTACAAAAGTACACCAGTGTCAGGCATGGTTACTTGGCTGTTTAGTGGCTAAACTGATCGATCGCCAGTCGTAATCCGTGCGGCAGAGAGTCTTATTTCCCATCATGCCTCAAGCTCCCATGCCATTCGAGCCATGGACACCCCGTCTTGACCGAATCTCACTCTACGGCTACTTCAAAACTCTCAGCCCGAGTATAATAAACTTGTCTCAACATGAGTATAAGTTAATTAGCGATCGAAAGAGTTTCACAAACCTTGAAGCAGTAAGCTTGATAGCCTCACTTTGATCCTTTGCCAAAACAGGAATCATAGACAGGTGTGATATGTAAATAAAATTAATGGAAAATGAAAGTACGGTGGCAATGAGAAAGTAATATAACAGCACCACCCACTCACTGGTTCCATTGCCGCAAACTAAACATTTGCTGAAAAACAGTGGCATACCTATTGCAGTTGCAATAGCTCCAAAGAAATACCACGATTTTTTCTTTCCATGTCTGCGTGAAATGACCGGAATCTTAACCTTATGACATAAAAAAACCTGCCACTGGAGCAAATATCAATGCACCGGCGAAAAGACTGCAAACAGCAACCAAGCCGGCATAGGTAGCAGAAATTCCAACCACTCTCACGAGAAAAATCATTCGAAATTGTTAGAATACATGCCCGGATATTCCGAGCACCCACACTTAAGTTACTTAGCTGTTGTCCCAGATTAGAATACACCACAACGTACTACTGCTCACCTGCAAATTTCCTTTGTGGTAAATACCTAGAATGATTATCGTTTCGTTCTAGTTACGCCTATCTAAAAACCTGTATATAATATGATTCACTATGAGAAATAAATCAGTTGTTACTCCGAGCATTGGTTGATGTGTCATTTTGTGTAACTATTATGGCGACATCGAACTCTTGGAACCTAACAGGAATGAATGTATCATGCGGCGAGTGACATCATTAATCACTTGCCCGACTCCGTAGGAAAACTGCTAGAAGTACGATAGTCCTCCCCTAGGATTTTTTTGGACCTCCATGTTCACATCCGCAAATACCACTGAACAGCCTAAAGAGGAATAAAGATAAAAGAAATAAGAAGAAAAATAGAAAATAGAAAAACCAAAAACATAAAAAAAGGCAATGGAAGAATATTTTGTTAAATCCAGAACTTACAAGACAAAACTTAAGGGCCCAAGAGGACTGACAGAAAACAAAATTAAGAAAATAAGCTACCCTCAAACCCTGCCCATCATGCGATAATTTTATACGGTTAAAAGTATAGGCGACAATTTTGCTGGACGTTTTCTCTAGAAATTCACAAGTTGAATTTACAGGAGATTATATTACTTCTTACTTTGGAGAACAGCCGTATGGATGATGGCACCATTTACAACTTTATGCACTGTTATCATATAAATCACTGATTAGATTCCACGTTGCTGTGCGTCTGGTCAATAATAGATCATAGACAGAACGTGATAAAAACCTCAGTAACACACTCGGCTGTGTTTATCACTATAGAAGATGGCAATACTCAAGGAGACGAACGACAGTAAACGAAGCCCTACTTTTTTAATAACTCCCGAGGCCCTCTGGAAAAACCCCAAAAACTACTTCATATAACATCACCCTTTATCTGTATCAATAAAACGTGAGGGGCGAACGTGTAACAGAAATAGAATGTGAATTTTTTTTCTTTTTAGTACTAGTAACTCAACCAATGTTCAATGTTCAAAGTTCGTTGTACTAGGTGACAAAGTCATCCAACCTGGAAGGGCGCACGCTAGTTCTACCACCTCGAGTAACAACAGTCTGTTGTGGTTGCGAAGTCACAATCACTTCCACTGCAATAGACTTTGGCTGGGGACTTCCACGAATCTGTCTCATAGTTGGTGCCTGATTCAAAGGAGGATCTGCCATGGCATCTGGTAATGAATTGGCTGATGACCCTGCACTGGCTGATGGCTGACTTGACGGATTTGTGCCACTGATATCTAATGAGGCCTGCTCTTGGCTAGGATCTTGACGAATAAACTTAGGATTCCGTCTGTACAGGTTTCCGCTCTCTGTTTCAATAAGAAAGGAGCGTGGCCCAACTTTTGCCACACATGAACCTTTCTCCCAGGGTGCTTTAGGATTTACAGGCTGAAGCCTTACTGGTTCTCCTACTTGGAGCTCGGGCAATGGTTTGGCATGTTTGTCATATGCTGCTTTGGCCTGCATCTTTTTCTTTTAATGTTGTCATACACTCCATCTACGACCTCTGGCTTCAGCAATGCTACATTTGTTGGAATGGTTGTCCTAGTCCTTCGAGACATCAAATTTTGGACTGGGATCAGTCCATTACTGTCAGGTGTGTTGCGCCACTCGAGCAAGGACATCTGGAGGTCTTTGTTACCTCGCTTTGCCTTCTTTACTAGATTCCCTGCAATTTTGACAGAAGATTCGGCTTTTCCATTGCTTTGGCTATGCAATGGTGAACTTGTAGTGTGCTGAGATTCCCATTCACGAGTAAACTTGGCAAAATGTGCACTGGAATACTGCGGCCCATTATCTGTAACCATGTCAGCAATGCCGTGACGTGAAAAGTGGCGTTTGGTTGCATTTACCACTGATTCTGCAGTAGTATCTGATAGGAGATCAAGCTCAAAGTAATCGCTGAAGTAGTCAACAGTCACTAAATAGTTCTCATCCCCAAGGGTAAAGAGATCTTGTCCAACCTTTGACCAAGGGGTTTCAGGAATTTTGTGGGTCATCAACGGTTCTTTTTGTTGTCTAGCTAAGAATTCGTTACAAACTTCACAATTCTGCACTTGATCTTTGATTTGGTCTGCCATGCTTGACCAGAATAACACATCACTTGCTCGACGTACACAGGCATCAGGCCCAAGGTGACTGGAATGAGCTCTTGCAATCATTTGAGGTCTCGTAGAAGCAGGAACAATCACTTTCATTCCTTTGTACAAGACTCCGTCTTGAACTGTTAACTCTTCTTTGTAGTTCCAATACTCGCGGATACAAACTGGAATTTCCTCTTTAGCAAGCGGCAAACCTGTCATAATCATGTTCATGAGACTTTGCAATGTGGCATCTGTGATTGTGCATTGTTTGATCTGCTGATGGGTGCCTTCTGATAAACGCATGTAATCAACTTGATTGATGTTGGCAATCTCTTGAAACGACAATTGCTCCTGGCTGAGCTGAAAGATCTGATACTCTGGGATGTTTTCATGTTGGCTGTGGTCAGCTGGGAGGTAAGCTCTACTTAGCATATCAGCAATGTACATCTGTGATCCAGGAAGGTACTTAACATGAAGATTGTACTTCTGTAATCGAAGGAGCATCCGTTGCAGCCGTTTTGGTGCGGAGTGTAGTGACTTCTGGAATATTGGAACCAGTGGCTTGTGGTCTGTCTCCACTGTCGTTAATTCTCTTCCGTGCAGATACTGATTGAAACGGCTGCATGCAAACACTATCGCCAAGCACTCCTTTTCTATTTGTACGTATCGGCGTTCTACAGCTGGCAATGACCTTGATGCGAATGCCACAGGTTGTCCGTTCTGAAGAAGCGTGGCTCCTTGGCCAGACTCTGATGCATCGCATTGGATGGTGGTTTCACTGGCTACGTCTTAGTATCTGAGCACTGGTGTCGAGCTGATCATATTCTTGATGTTTTGGAATTCTTCTTCTTGTCGACTTTCCCACACAAACACAGTATTTTTCTCTATTAACTTGCGTAGTGGTTCAGACACTTCTGAAATTGTTGGCATAAACCTGGAAAGATAGTTGACACATCCCAGAAGACGTTGGACTGCTTTTTTGTCGTCTGGTCGGGGCATGCTTGCAATGGCCTCCACTTTCATGGGATCTGGTTTAAGACGTTCAGATGTGAACGAATGACCCATATAAGTGACTTGGTCTAGCCGCAACCTCAACTTCTTCTTGTTTAACTTCAAATTCATATTGCGAGCACGATACAGCAAGTTTAGTAAATTGCTGTCATGGTCCTTTAGGACATCTTCAATAGTTTCTCCACTGCCATAACAGAATGTCGTCTCCAATGACTTCCACACCACTGAGACCTGCAAGTGCTTCGTTCTGACGACGCTGATATTCTTCGGGTGCGCTGCTGATGCCTTGTGGCATTCGTAAATACCGGTACCTCCCAAATGGGGTCCAGAATGTAGTAAGCAAGGAGCTTTCTTTGTCTAGCTTTATTTGATAAAAGCCATCCTTTGCGTCCAAGACAGTAAATACTTTAGCCTTGGCTAGCTTTGGCAAAACCTCATCGACTGTAGGCATTTGGCACTTTGGCCTCTTGATAGCTCGATTTAGATCTCGAGGGTCTATGCATACTCTTAACTTTCCTGGTTTCTGCACTGCTACCAATCTGCTCATCCAATCGGTCGGCTTGTTTTCTTGGACGATAGTCCCTTGCTTTTCCATCTCATCGATCTTTTCCTTAAGCTTCGCTTTGAGTGGTACTGGCACACGTCGGGTAGTATGCTGAACTGGTATGATGTCTGGATCGATCTCTATGTGATACTTCCCCGGAAGGCAACCGAGGCCAGTGAACACGTCTTCAAAATATCTCACGAGTTTGTCAAATGACGGGTGTTCGTAATTTTCACTGTTTAATGAGTGAATGGACTGGTGTGGTCCTAAACATATCCAGCCTTGCTTGATGCACGTGTTGCCGTCTACGATAAGCCAAGGAGCATTTTCCAAGATGTCAAAGGATATCTCGCATTTTGAGCCACTTTTCAAGCTGACTGTGAAGGTGTAAGATCCCAATGGCTCAACCACACGTCCATCGTAGAGTCTTATCTTCCCACCAGGGGCGTCCAACACGACTTCCCCACTCTGCGATATATTTAGGAGGTCGGTATATGACATAGCGCTACATGTTGCCTCTGTATCTAGCTGAGTTGTGATGATAGGGCTGTACTCAGTGTGAAATGTGAGTGGTACCATGAAAGAGGATAACAGGCTGCACCACGTTTTGATTAGATTCCATATTGCTGTGCGTCAATGGTCAATAATAAATCAAAGATGAAATAAAAACGTGACGAAAACAATAGTAACAAACGTGATCTATTATTGAACAGGCAGCATACTAGGTTATTAAGGTCGAATTGAAATTTCAAAGCTACAATTGAGACTTCATTGTCCCTAATCAGTGTTGCGTGGCGTCAACAACAAATTGTGGCCGTAAAAGGTCGCCAAAAGGTTACTGCTGACGTGAAGGTTTTCCGAAGTATTCTAGACTTTTAAAAATACATGAACGGAAGTACTTTTTCTAGCTCTTCCCAAGATTGCTTCACGGCTCAGTAGAAGCTCCTATTGATGCTAGTTAAAAATTGAATTGCTGGAACAATGAGCAAACTGCGAATGATTGACGCCCTTAAACTTTTTCTTTATGCTTTTAACTCAGAGCATACTTGTTTGACTCTTTCGAGATAGTACTAGTCAGTTACTGATCATTCTAGAAGCGTTTGGTTTGAGAAGTTTATTGGTCTGGAATAATTAAGGTAAGGGCTCGAAAAGAGAAGAGTTATAACTACGTTATGTCAGATGATTTGCAGACTACTGATCTTTCTTTCTAACCTGACTCTCAGATGATGAAGGCATTAGCCTAAACGGCTCGTCAGTGAATACGTTAATCTTTTGAACTACGAAAAAAAACAGTTAAACACTCAACTCGACAAAGTCTTACAATTTAAGTCGCTCACCTTGTTTTGAGATTTCTATGATCCAAATTTGTTTTCATCGAAGTATCTAATAATCAGACCTGACTGAGCTGCACCGATGGTTGACCCCAAGTGTTAAAGACTCTAAATCAACCAAAGATATAGCGAGGCCAGGGTTGCTAATATTCATGTACGAGTTCACTCTCATTCGGGCGAATCAGAATAGCTTTCGATTGTGTGCAACAAAGATAAAATATCCCTGGGCACAATTAAAATCTTTTTTTATCCTAATTCATGTTCTACCGGGAAAAAAAGTGATTATGAAAGGTAATTATGTCTTTTGCATCATATGATTCGTCGAACTTCGAGTAAATAACAAAGCTACAGGCAGTAGACATGACGTCTTTCCGCTAAAAAGCGCGCATGAGGTGAAAAAAAAAAATGATTCAAGCGGGTGAACTTCCATTTGAGTAATTGCTGAAAAGAAGCCTGATAATATCTTGTTTTACGTATTGATGACCTTTGTATATTGTCATCGTTCGACCTTATTGAACATGACAGAGTGCAGACAACAAATAATCTGTCGTTATCTCTATGACACGAAATATCACGCAAGCAAGGGAAAGCTACGTTTTTCCGCCTTAATTTTGGTGCTTTACCACGATCAATAAACGACTTTTAATTTGGTTATGCCAAATACGCTGTTTAGATCTCTTCCCCATCTCCATAATTGCTGCTTGTTCTTTCGGAAAATGCTATCCAGCGGAGTCTCAGAGAGAGAGAGCATTCGGAGGGTGAGATTATGAGCTGAGAGATCCTATGTCTCATACATGCATCTCTTGCAATGTCGATTCAGTAGTGATCTTTTTTTTTTAATCTTAATTCAGCGCCCTGTCATTCTGCGCAGCTGTTAGGGAACGACACCATGGCCTCGTTAGTCGTTTTGATGAGATGCGACATTTTCTTTTAGGCCGTCGAAAATGCGAACTATAACAGCGTTTATCATATAAGGGGCAAAATTACTGAATTGTGATTGGTCAAGACAGAGGGCATTTTTTCTTAATTTTTGTAATTGCCCCGGGCAAAATTACTTGAAAATGATTGGCTAAAAATCGCTTAGCAACTGCTGCCAAGGTAAAGAAATTTCTGTTTGTTTTGTAACAATGGCGTCCTGTTTTGCGCGAGATCAGTAAGAAAACCTTTTTGCCCCTTATATTAAAAACAAGTAATCACATGGTTCCTCGTAAAATTAAGGATTAATATCACTTGTGTTTTCGGAATTTGCAGAAATTGCCCCCGTCGCTGGGCGACACGGACAATTTCAGCAACTTCCGAAAACACGCGTGCTATTAATCCTTAATTTTACTCGGCCCCAGGCGATTACCTATACAAAAGGCAGCATACCAAAACATCAACCGCAGTAAACAACAAAGTTTGTTTTTAACCTGATAAATTCTTGTTAGAACAGAAATTCGTTCTTTTAGCCCTTGGAACACAACTATCCAAGTAATCTTTCTCTTCCTTCGCATTTTTTGGTTTTCGAAACACGCGTTTGGGCTCCATTTCAAGGAAAAGCTTTCTGAACTTTAACAGCAGCCGAACGAGGAGCACTTTTCCCCTCTGTATGTAATTAACTTTTAATGCATTCAAATCACGTTTAGAAAAATCCCTAGAGAGGCACGGGTTTTTTAAGCTATTTAATGCATTCATATAACGTTCGGAAAAATCCCCAGAGAGGCACGGGTCTTTGAAACTATTTAAAAAACTCGCAGCACGTGTTTTATCGGGTCTAAAAACACTGCTGCTCTTTTTATCTTCATTTTGATCTTGCCCAATAACGCTTGACATACATATATACAGTTACAGTTAAATTTATGCCACAGAACCTCGACATAACGAACCCATTTCCCCAGTCCCTTGGCACTTCGTTAAACCGAGGTTCCACTGTAGTTACCATCATTATACTTACGAGTAGGTATATGATCCGGCTTGAGAAAGTTCTCTGGTGTGGTGGAAGGTAAAATGTGAAAATTCCATCATTGCATAGGGACCAGAGAAGATATTTATCCTCTCTTGATAGTGATTATGAATCGTTCAAAACTGAATTGCGTCAAACAAGTCGCGAGGGGGGATCAAGTTTGACCCTACGTTTTTTATTTGAAGTAACCCGAGAATCGCATTTCTTCACCAATTGCCCTTGTAGGCAAAACAGCGAAGAATATTTTCAACAATCAATCATGATGCACGGAACACAGATATTACAAAAGAGACCTTATAAATAATAAAGACGCTATTGATATCGGATTCGATTTAAACTACGAAGACAAGACTTTGTAAATGAAAAGTGGATTTCGTAAGCCTGTAACAAACTTCATAGTAAATCTTTCTTGGAGCTGGCAAAGACACGAAGTGTATTCTCCTTTGCTTTGAAAATGTTCTCCTTTTTTAGGAACAATTCCCACCTTTCTATGAATATTTTTCTACTCGTAATATTACAGTGAGTATTGACTCGGAAGCCTCATATTTCTCTCTAAGGAATTGTGCTATAACAGTTAATTTTATTTTTAGGAAATATCAGGAATATAAACTTTAAGATCTCAATTGTTCGAGAACGCATTTTCTTGACTGCAATGTCATTGTTTCATCTTTCTGAACGTGTGCAGTATAGGAAGAAATCGTTCGTCCACAGAAACAACAATTTAAAATTTAATCTGCTGTAAACACAATACTTTGAGAATCAAACATGACATCGAAACACTTTATTGGTTAAATATTGCTGAAAAAAAATGCTTTAGAAAAATATTTAAAACAACGGAGAGTATAAGTACAAAAGAGCAGCATATACTTTTTACACAAGACAAACTTTTCAATGAAAAATGCTCGCAGTCTTTCCATTTTTAGTAAAACGATATAACACAAAATAATCAGTCTGCGATACACCATTCACAAACGCCAACTTCATTGGTGAAGCAGTAAACCGGAGAACTGTAACACAAGCTTGAAGTCACTATCATCGTTATTCCTAATGAAAATGAATGAAAACTTTATTCAAGTGTCAATGTCTTTAGCTTTACAGGTGTAAAGACTAATTGGGGACACTACTTGGTTACTTAACCTACAGAAGTTTAAAGATAAATTTATTAGTTATTTACACATTTAGAGTAAAATTTCAAATGTAAAACTGGAACCTTATTTACATACCAATAATATTTTTAGATGGCTAAAAATTATACAGAAGGATAAAATCTTATTTTATGAGCAGATTTCACAGTCCACGCAGGTGTCTTAACAATTCGGTCAGGTTTCGTGTCTAAAATCGTTTAAAGATATTTTCTCCCAATCACTGACGCTTAACTTCCTCCATAAGTACGGTCCGAAGTAACGAAGTTAGTGTTTGCCGTAACGGGACGTTCTGACCCTCGGGACATTCTGACCCCCAGGACATTCTGACCCCCAGGACATTAAAATCAGCGTTCCTAAGCTCATAGCCTTTATAGGTAGACTGGAATATTTCTGTGATATACAGTGGCATTAATCCGTTTTTAACTTTAAACATGAGTGTAGCTATGCTTTGTAATCTCCTTTCATATAGAGTTGATAGGGAGGCTCTGTTTAATAAAGTACTGTACGTGTCCACCTTAGATTTAAAAATTGCTCTAAGTGCTCGTTCTTGAATACGTTCGAGCTTACGTCTATCGGCAGTTTTGAAGAAATGCCACACAATGTCACAGTACGTCAGATGCGGTATACCGGTAAAATAGCAGATTTGTAGAGTTGAAGTTTGGCTGAGTAGGGTATGAGGTTGCGTAGCCTCAGCCAACTTCAGCCAGACAGTAGCTCGACGTATTATTTCCTTGTGACAGTACATCACAGGTGGGTTGTATAGCCTGAGGTTGCTTCAGTCTCCTCGGTTCCTGTTAAGTGTGGAGTAAGCGACAAGAAACGGAAAAATCTTTAATTATCAATGACATTGAAATCAACAATTTTGGCTATGCCTCGAGTATTTCTATAATTCCTTCTTTGAAGGTTTTACCATCATTTCATCTTAAAGATGAAATATTCTAGAGTATAGCCCAAATGTGTTGGTTGCTACGATCTATGCAGAGGCATAATTAGGTGGGAATGGTTAGTAGGGGAGGGGGGGGGAGGGGTTAGGGTCTCTTGGATTTTTAGAAACCCCTCTTTTGGGCTTTTGCCATGACTTTACTCTTGAGAGGGAGGGAGGGAGGATCGCAATTGAATTCCTCGAAATACGCTATTCACTTTTGAAAAAAGAATAGAAAATTGATATGGAAACAGTTCCCCAAATTGTAGAGGGAAAGGAGGAAAGTCTGGACTTGCTCTGCTTCTCAGTTGCTGACACTAAGTATGTTAACGTTGCATCACAAGACTGCAATATTCATTGATGAAGTGTGTACTATATTTACAAATTTCAACATTTTTTCTTAATTCGACTTCCTTCTCCTTAGGAATTCACCCTTTATTACATAATTCCGTGCAGTTCATCTATATAAAACTACCCACACAAATGCGGCTTTGAAGTGCCCCTGAGATCAAAATTTTCGTACATAATTTTTTTTTTCATTTTCGTGTTCAGTGTGTCTCCTTCACCAACTCTGCCAAATTTCAGTCTAGACCGATTACCAGAAATATACTTTTTTCTGGCCGTTAAATTCGCGATTTCGCGTCCGCTATTAATTGACCATGTTCCGGAAGTTGATCGCAGGACTCAGAGAAAGTGACGTCAAGGCTCAACGCGAAAATCTCACATGGCAAAATGTCAAGCCAACATAACAGAGTGCTTTACTCTATTCTTAAAAAATCTAAACAAAAATGACGAGGCATCGATGCGTAATTCAAAGCTGAAGTAATCGTGCAGGCCATACCGCAGGTATTTCTCTACATCGGAGCCTTGCAAATAGATCAGAGCGGGAAAAACGGATGCGATTTGTGCGAACTCGCCGAGTAAACTTCAATCCTGCAGGAATATTTGTGATCTACTCTGAACAATTCTCGGAGGACTGTTTCGAGAGATCTGTGCTCTTTGAAAGATCTAGGCGAAGAATTCTGTCGGCTTCAGTGCCTACCGTTCAAAAGAAGGGACAGGAAAAACCGTTCTCAGTGCGATCTCGACGAACGGTGAAATCTACGAACCTCCACAGGTTTTGTCACCTTTACATATACGCTGATCAATATCCACCTTTAATAACTCTGGCAGAACACCTTACACAAAGGAAAGTACTCGGTGAACATTGTAAATAAGAATGATAAAATAGCCGAATTCAGGAATGAGATTTCTGACCTCAAAGAGCTCACTTTTATAAAAAAGAGATGAAAAATATAATTGTGTGCTCTGACTCTAAAAAATGAGCTGGCTTTAATATCAGCGAAAGTAGAACAAACAGCTTAAGACACATAGAGCGTAGAAACACTTTAAAACGTAGGCTTGCAGCCAAAAAACCGAGAAAATGAAAATTTCTCAAAAAACCTCTCAAACTATCAACCACCTGACAGCCAAGTCAGCGTGCTATCAAAGGGTCTCAAATTCATCCCAACAACCGCGACAAACACATGTGAAATCAGGCCAACTTTTGCGAGATTTATTTGCAAGACAAATGCGCCCCGTTACACCTTTCACGGACAAAACAAATAACCACTTCCGTTTCATATCAAACTGAATGCCACCGGCTCTAAAAGAGTTGAAACAAACTCTGCTTTAAACCTCACCGAAGCAACACAACAATAGTCATCATGAATAAGACAGAAAAAACAAAAGAGGCCAAACTGCAACTCAACAACAGAGTTCACTTCAAACCTTTCAAAGCACCGACTTGGACGACTTTGAAGCGGTAAAAATTGGTCATCGATGGTTTTTTTTTAGTATTTAATGGCAGAAAGGGTTTTAACTTGACCCAGTTCAACATAATATTAAAAAAAATTTTCCCAAAATAAAATGGTCAATTTTCGTCTCAGGGGCACTTTAAGTCATTTATCAAACTGCATCTCACCTTTTTTCCCGCATAATGTCTGGGAAACTTGAAAAATTATAACAAGCAGCAAGCTAAGAACAGCGAGTGAGCTGGGCACGAATGAGAACACGTTTTGTACGTAACTCCCACACTCTTGACAATCGGCAGACTCACTAGGGAAAAAAAGCGATCATTTTATCTCTTTTTAAACAACATTTATTTTGCTTTCGTAATTCTCAGTCTTTTACATAGCCCTTGAGCAAAATTACTTTTTGTGATGAAAATTCCCCCTTCGTTTACTCTACACTTATCTTGAGTCACTTTCTTTGTTTCGCGAGAATATTCCATTAAATTCAAAGCTCTTGGAACGCATTTTATACGCCATGAAATGCTGGTAGAATATTTAGTTGGACGGGATTCAGCCAGGAGCCTGGTAAGGACGAAGGATTCAAATGAGGAGAGGAGAAGAAAAGACCAATAACAACAGCGCTGAATAACAAGAAGAGCAAAGAATAAAGAAAAGAACATGTATAGCGCCAAACAAAAAAAAGATGCGAAAGAAAATGGAAGAAATAAACTTAAGTAATACAAAGGACAAAGAAGAAAACGAAAGAGGCTGGGAAGCCTTAAGCCTATTTTGTTAAAAAGTCATTTTATGTCTTGCAGTAGTAAAAATAGTTCTTATATCACAGCAAGAAGTCCAAATTTACCTTCCTTTAGGAAATAGAACTTGTATGACGAGATACAGAGTTCCTGACGTCAGGTTAGAGATAATACCTACGACAGAGAATACCAAACCAGAGCTGGCCTGCAGGAAAAATCATACAAGAAAAAGAATTTGTTTTAAACAAAAAGAAGGGTAAAAAAATCCCTGTTACATTTACTATTTATAGCGCGGTCTAACTGATCTTAGAAATAGAATTCAATTGGATTTATATAGTAAAAAGTTCAGTAACAATTTGAAGAATAGACTTAATAAAGTGTTCTGCAACTTACTTTGTTTTCTCCAATAAGTTCGGTTGCAAAGCTAAGTGCATTAACAAACATGGCGGAGGACCCAAACCCCAGTAGAACAACGGCAGGGTAAGTGAACACCCTCGTTGACTGGGTAATACGCATAAACCACAAGCACGATCCAATTACAGTCAGAGCAGCCACAATGAACGACCACTGAAACAAGATGGGAAGCTTCAGAAGATAGCTAATACATATCATTAAATTCCGCCTTCGAATATTACATTTTCAGTGCTCTGGTTGGTTCACTAAATTCCGGACATCAGTTCATATGCCAAATAACCTTTTATGTAATGTAATCCACTCAAGCTATGCTGAGTTGGATTTAGTTGTGTTTGGCTGAAAGAGAACGCTTCTCCGTAACAACGGAAATTAAGTAACGATTAAAAAAAAGCCACAAATAAAAGTACGATATGACACGACCTGACGGTAAATATCTTTGACGTTTTATCTCATGATACATTGAAAAAAATTGCAGCTGAATTCAGGAATTCATGGTCAACGATCACTTCAATTTCGGCCATAAAAGAAAAAATTGAACAAACTGTGCCTATCCTAACGCTTGTTGACTAACTGGAACCGGCAAACACAGTTAAATGCTTTTCCCGGATGAGTTTTTACTCGTATTCTTCCACGAATGCTTTTTGAATCTGAAATCACTTTATTTTGAGCAGATATCTATGTCCAGCAGTGCAAACTGCTTAGCGTTGGAACAGTCATCCAGCTCCGGCCTGTTGGATATGTGCGCTTGAGACCAGAAACAAAAAGAGTGATTTAAAAATTGCTATTCGGTTATCAGTTTCCAATTTTGTCTACGATCATTGCGTACATCAGAACATTATGTGAAAATAGCTTATTTTTTTTCTTATTACCTGGTTTCCTACTTTTCCAGAGAGCTTCCTTGATATTTGGGTAGACAATGTGGCACTCACTAACAATATCAATGGCAGACTGGCAATCGCTTCCTTAAAAAAAAACTCAATAGTCTGAAATTTTAAAAAATACAAGCTTTCTCGGGGTTCGAATTGATTGTTTTACTCTCATCAAAAAGTATTCTGTCGAATCCTTGATTCCCCATATTTACCAATTGAATACGTATGACTGAGTTCCCCCATTAGAGAAAAAAAGTTTTTCTTTGGTAGAATTTCAACATTACCTAAGGAGGCTTCTACTCACTAACTTTCAGCACGTTCACTCTTAATATTACTGGGGAATGATAGAGTGCGTTTCTTGGCTATGAATAGTTTAGTAGGAGCACTAAAAAGGAAGCGATTCGGATTGTTTAACTCGTCAGTAGTCCAGCCTAAGCAGTAATTGGACAAAACTGCTATATTTTTCAATTATTTAAAATATTTAATGAATTAGGTGATGATCTTTTTTCTGTCTGTCTGTCTACCTGCCTGTCTGTCTGTCTGTCTGTCTGTCTGTCTACCTGCCTGTCTGTCTGTCTTTCTGTCAGTCTGTCTGTCTGTCTGTCTGTCCGTCTGTCCGTCTGTCTGTCTGTCAGTCTGTCTGTCTGTCTGTCTCTCTGTCTCTCTCTCTCCTCTACCGTCTCACGGGAAAGTTGGCTGACTGACAGGGAAGGAGGAAGTAAGGAAAGGAGAATGGATGAGTAACCAGGTAACTGGTCAACCACTGTAGAAGATCAAGTACAACGTTCAGTATCTTTCAAGCCCAGTAAAAAAAGAAAAAGGTTTGCACATACATTTTCAAATTTCAGTTTGTCAGTCAGGAGCAGGGGCAGGTAGGAGTAAAACACATCCTGTGAACCTTTTGTGCACGCGTAAATAATTGCAACCTAAGAAGGAAGAGAAATCGTAAGCATTTATGAAAAATAACACAATCCGTTAAAGAAATTTACTAATAACAACGAACTAACTTACGATCAGTATCACCCGCACTAAAAGCAAAGTTAGGTTACGTTTCGAAATCCCATAGTCAGGGTCATGATCTGTCAAACACATTTCATTGACAAAGACAGAATTCATGTGTTGTCTTGTGTGTATTTCTCCCTGGATCATTTGCAATAAACTCAGTTGAATATCTCACAATAACCAAATCATAATATGTTCTTCATGATTTAGTGTGTAAGCTGAAGATTACAATGAAGGTGCACAAAAGCAATGACATGCACCCGAAAGTTGAAAAATAATTGTAACCGAAATTAAGTTACCTTGTACAAATGAGGATCTTTGAGCCAGCATCGCACTGTCTTTGGTCTCGGTGGATGAGCGGATTTCACATCAGAAGCAGATGGCAGAGCTTTTCCCTCATCTTGGCTAACATCCGGAAAATGTTGGCTATTAAGCTGTGTTTCATTTGGATCGAATCCTTCATTGTCAACACCGGAGGTCCGTTTTTGACCTTGGTTGTATACTTTTGACTTCTGTTGTCCATTTTCCATTATTCCCTGACCATCCTCTTCACTAATATTATGTATGGGTCTGACATTGTCTGGCTTCGCGTCGTTTTCTTCTTTAGAATCCTTTTCTTTTGTCATCATTTTATCAAAGATGCTCATCATAGGACTTATTTTTCGCTCTTTTGGTAATGCCTTAACGAACGTCAGGTCGTCCTCACTTTTGACTGTCATTGAGACAACAGGCATGTTCCGTTTAGCATCACGCTCCTCTTTTCCAACGATCTTAATTTCGGAAATTTCCTTGGCTTCAAAAAACGTTCGGGAGAAAATCTTTTCTCTAACAGGACAGGTTTCTTCCTCAGATAATCGCAGACTATGAATAACTCTATCCCCGATATTTTTCTCTCGCTGTTGATCTAAGGCGAATTATAAAATAAAAACGAAGTGGCCATGGTATGTAAACGACGTGCTGTGTAAATTTAAAAACATTAGTGACATTTAGCACCAGGGTTTTTAGCGGAAACCTCGAACGGCAAACCGGTGGAGGTTACGTGATCAAATCCTGCGGTCACGTTCGGAGTTGCGCGTTTTCAACGCCAAGAGGTAGGTTTTCACGTAGTGATTAACCTGAACGTTTTTAATCCAGAATTTGCTTTTATCCCACGTACAAATCAGAAAGTTATGTAAACCAGTCTTTTTAGAACAAGTTTAGATATATTTTTTAGCGAATGAGTGAAAATAGGACTTCTTGTTGCCATTTGAAAATCAAACCCTGCTGTTGTCTGGAAATTCAATATGGCGGCCTCTTCGATTTCATGGAGAAGTGTGGCTAAAGCGGTAGAAGCCATAAACGTCAAACGCCAAACTCCTAACCTGAAACTGCCGTTTCAAGTTTGCAGTTACTTTGAAAACCCTGGTGCTAAATGTCTCTACCAGGGACAAACAAAACGTCGAATGACCGCAGAAAAGCGATGGAATTAAGATGAAATTTTTAAGGAAGAGATTGAGTGGAAACTTTGCTGAAAGCAAAACAAGTGAAGTTGTTGCACAGCCTCGCACATGATGATTAAGAACTCACATATTCCAAAATACGCCAATGACTGAAAGACAACAGGCGATGGTATGAAGGAGCCTTCAGTCTGCAACAAATATAAAGCAGTAAATTAATACACAATATTATTTATAATGAGATCACCAGCAATAGACAAAGAGTAAATATTTACACTAACCATAGTACACTGATTTGCCCTTTTCCCCCAATATTTGTATATACGTTGATGTGCGCTTGGCACAGTTTGCTAGTCAAGATACCTACAGGTCTAAATCCAAGGTAGTAATGTGGGTAAAAGTGATTGTGCGATGCGGGTGTAAAAGATTCCTTTTCCAATGCATAGGCAAGAGTCCAACAGTCCATTTTACAGTTGTGTGCTTGGTTGCCAAGCCTTTGAACGGGAGTGAGGGTAGGGGTGACCTTGTTCTGATACAAACCTTGCTACCTTTCAAATGTAAATCACTTTGTTATCATGCTAACTAGATACAGGTCTCTATCACAACAAGGTCACCTTCAGCCTCACTCTGAATCAAAGGCTTGGCAACTAAGTACACAACTGTAAAATGGCCTATTTCCTTCAAGAAGGATCAAATAACTGTTTCAAATGAGACAAAACATTTAGCTGCAAATAACAAATTCAAAAAACTCCTAACCTTAAAAGAGAAACAAGGGAAAGTTTTTTTTGATAGTAAAAGAAGCAAAAAGCTAATTCTACTCCGAAAACGAGCGTCCACGTTAACTTCAAATGATATAATGATATGTGCAGAAAGACCAACTATTTTGTGTAAATATAAATGATATATGTAAATATATTAACATATAAACATATGTAAATGTAAATAAATGCAATATGCAACGTATTTCGAAAATTTAACAATGGTTTAAGAATTACGCCGTAGATCATTAGCGGTTATGCAAGAGCGTATGTGTAGCCGGACTGAAATTACAGTGCTGTATCAGTAATATAAGTACATTAAGCTGTATTAGTAATATAAGTGCATTAAGTTGACTGCCTGCCTCCATTTAACTTGTAGTTACTCATGTTTGCTAGCTCCTTCTCTGTCTCCTTTTTTCAGATGTAACTTACTTTAAATTAATCAATTTAATCGAACTTATTAATTTCTGATAAAATTGCAAATGGCTGTAATGAGAGAGATGAGGAAACCAAAAGTTTCTTTTAATGGTGCAGTTTTGTGTAATTAGAATTTACCATAGAATCTGCAGTTGACTCAGGAAGCGCCTTGTCCTTTGAATCCTCTGAAGGTTCTTTGGTTCCAAAATGGAAAATAGCAGAGCAAACCAGTCCTACTGCTGTCAATATCAGAGTTATCACCTGTAGATGAACAGACGTTACAACTGTAGTTAAGTGACTATAGTGATAGACATAACAAAGATAAAATTGTCCCAAGCGATTACCCTAAGTGGACATGAGCCCAACTACCACAACCTGAAAGGTTGTATACTCTTTGTTACTCCGTGTCTCAGCTGAAGGAAAAGGAAATAACACAGGAAGAAGGGAAGTACAGAAAGAAATAACTCTGATAAAATAAATTCAGTGGCAGCAATAGAATCATGTGGATGTTATGAATTACCAGAAAATCCATTGAGCTTTCTTTTGTTAACAGATCACGTCTACCTTGTCCAAGAATTAGCCAAGCCACAAGGTAGGAAACGATGCCAGTTAAGTACATGAAACCCGTTCTGTAGATAGGTAGTCACTGCAAGTGAGCTTATAAGAGTCTTTACACTTTGTGGAGGTAAGAACACCTTAAGAAGTTACTAGTTGGCGTTTAAATGTGACTGTTTCCGGAGCGAAATCAACTTCGACAGATATAAAATTTAATAAGATTTGTCTGAAGTAACATCTGGGTAAGACTTTCTGCCGAAATACGGACCTACGGGCGAAACTGGGAAGTCATAATTCATATAAGTATTATCATTATGATCATATTTGTTACTTTGATTTTCATACGATTATTTTTACCATCATTATTAATTATCGCTATCATTACGCAAACCATTTTAAGTAAACAGAGCAATAGTGACGAGGGCTGCGGAACTCGCGCAAATTTATTTGGTTCAAGTGCCTTGATATTGTACCTCTTGCTTCGTCACAAACGTACATGAATTCTAGGCCTGGTTACTTGGCTGTTTAGCGGTTAAACTGATTGATCGCCAGTCGTAATCCGTGCTGCAGGGAGAGTCTTACTTCTCATCACACCTCAAGCTCCCATGCCGCTCGCGCTATGAGCACCCCCGTTTTGACCCAATCTGAGTCTTGTGCTAATTCAAAACTTTCAGCACTAGTATAATAAACTTGTCTCAACATGACTTCAAGTTTAGTGATCGAAAGAGTATCACAAACCTTAAAGCAGTAAGCTCGGTGGCCTTACTTTGATCCTTTGCCAAAACAGGAATAATCGACAGGTGAGATATGTCAATGAAGTTCATGGAAAATGAAAGTACGGTGGCTATGAGAAAGTAATACAACAGCACCACCCACTCACTGGTTCCATTGCCGCAAACTAAACATTTGCTGAAGAACAGCGGCAGACCTATTGCAGTTGCAATAGTTCCAAACAAATGCCACGATTTTTTCTTTCCATGCTTGCGTGACAGGACAGGAATCTTAACCTTATCACATAAAAAACCTGCTACTGGAGCAAATATTACTGCACCGGTAAAAAGAGTGTAAAGAGCAATCAAGCCGGCATAGGTTGCAGAAATGCCAACCACTCTCATGAGAAAAATCATTCGGAATGTTTGTAACATGCGGCGAGTGACATCATTAATCACATGCCCGACTCCGCAGGAAAACTTCTGAGATAGTCCTCTCCAGTTAGGATTTTTTTTGAACTCCATTTTCACATCCGCAAATACCACTGAACAGCCACTGAAAGATAAGAAAAATAAAATAGAAATTAGAAACCAAAAAAATAAAAAACCAGAAAAAAAGGCAATGGAAGAATATTTTATTGAAATCCAGAAATTACAAGGCAAAACTTAAGAGCGACTTTCTGTAAATACCACGGATAGGTGTGCAAGATGGAAAAATCGAAATCTCCCAAACTTTGTCATATTAAAGCCCTTATGAAACCATTTTAGAAAATACAAGATTCAGTTTCTTGTGATTGATACTTTCCAAAAAAATAATGTTTTGGAATTTTCACCTCCGAGAGGAGGTGAAAAAATGTGCTTCGCATCCTCGCGAGGTGAATAGAAACGGAATCAAATACCATGACAACTGCGATGTAAGATGATTTTATGACCCTTCCTTTGTATGAAAACGTTGTTGTAACTTCAAAACACTCCAATCTGAATTTTTAATTTTTTTTCAAAGTCACCCTCTATGACAGGTTCATCGTGACTATCAATTTTGCCATTTTTCAACAGCAAAAAACCCTCTCTGGCACATGGCTTTCGTTGTGTAAATGCTATTCCAGAGAAAGAGCAATCCTTTTTCTTTCAATTTATGAGATAAAATCTTGGGGCAATTCAAACGGCAAGTTTCGAGAACTGAAAACATCGACGGTACTTGCTTGCAATTTACAACTTTTAAACTTGCGGTTGCAATGACCAATACAAGAAGTACACGAGTGAACTTGGACAGCAGTTTAGATACTTCGAGAATTCGATCCTTTTCCACCAGTTAAAAAAACTAAACAAACGACTATAACTTCGTAGTGGCAATTACCTGAAAGGAAAAGCATTTTTATTGTGCGAAATTGAGCTGTAAACCTCTTGAAAACACTTCCCGTACCTGCGCTTTGAAGCATGGCTTGTACCAGTTATCTAAATATGAAAAGTGTTCATCAAAATGTTCGTATTTTGTCTGAAAGAAATGGTAAAAGTATTGATGGGAGAATAGGACAAACACTTACTCACCTCATATACATATGTTGTTGAAAAGAGACCAAAATCCCTCAGTTAAACTGGATTGCGTGACATCCCCTTGACTAGACCTAGGTAAGAGGTGGGGGTGGGGGGGTTTAGCTTGGGCTTGGGCTTGGGCTTGGGCTTGGGCTTGGGTCCAACGCAGACAAAAACATTCCCTAGTAAATCCCATAATCGCTTAAAAAAACAGCTGTGTGGGCATTTCGAAAAAAACAAACAAACAAACAAACAATCAATCTTGGGACAGGAGCCGATCTCCTGTTGGGAATTAAAGAAAAAAAAATGAGAATACTTCCATCTCACCAAATCCCAAACCTCCCTCCCATTAGGTGCTTATTACCCGGGAGAAAACCTTAGGCCTCCGTGATGAAATGAAAAATATTTATTGTTAAAAACCAGACAGCCCAGGATCTGAAAGGTTTTGTCGATATGGGATTCTGGCAGGTACAATTTTGGCATCAGGCAATGTGAGTTTCTACCGGTCAGAGAAAGTCTTATGGACAAAGTCAAGGTATTATACCACGATAAACTACTCGGTGAGGCGAATAACCTGCCATCCGTGAAGGCTGAGTCAAGTCAATGCCCGGTACCAACTGAGGTTCTTCCCCAAGGGTCGGCTTTAAGATCTACTTAAAAGGCAACGAGGTTTAGTGATTCCCAGCGACAGTGCTTAGACGCGAAATTTAAAGTCGGACAAGCAACAGGAGTGAAACTTTATCCAGTGGATGTTGCACGTCACATACGTTACGCGCGAAACCAGGAAGGGGAAAAACTGTTCCCAGTAAGTGAATTTTTGACCGAACAGCAATTTCAGTCATACTTTTTCAAGACGAGCCTCTAAACTCTGGCATTCTCATTAGGACGATCCAGAATCTGATCAAGACGAAGATATTATGGCCGCTGAAGAGGAAATGGCGCACGAAAATGTTCGCGCAGTTGTGTTAGAGAAGGTAAGACTAAGGCACCCTGTTTTTTTCGACATTTTCAACTTATGTGACACGCACAAGGCAGGTTAACTGCGACAGCTTAGTGTTTCCATGCTGCATTCCATTTGCGAACATTTTGACATTGAGCTGATAAATATCAAAGGACGACGCAAAGTTCCATACTTGTCCTTACTTGGAGAACGTCTGGTGGCATGCAGTTGTAGTAAGAGTTAGGGCCTATACCGACTAATTAAATGAACATTCCACCATCAACATTCTTTAATTTTACGTTTGGAAGCAAAAGACTAATAATTTGCTTGGAAATATGGCTTAATCTTAATACGGCTTAATCAGGCCTTTAACTTTTATCAACTGTGTATATTCTTACTAAAGTATAGAACATTACGCCTGATGCCAAAATTGTACCTGCCAGGATACCATGCCGACAAAATCCTTCAGATCATAGGCTGTCCCGGTTTTTAACTATGAATATTTTCATTTCATCACGGAGGCCTGAGGTTTTCTTCCTGGGAAATAAGCACCTAATGAGAGGGAGGTTTGGTGAGGACGAAGGATTCTCATTTTCTGTCCCAAGATTGATTTTGTTTGTTTGTTTGGTTTTTTTTTTCGGAAACTACACAGCTTCATTTAACGGTTATGGGATTTACAACCGCCTCCCGGTTAGCTCAATTGGTTAGAGCGCCGGACTGTGTTGTACGGGAGGTCGAGGGTTCGATCCCCGGCCGGACCAATACTCATGGTCTTAAGAATTTGCTACCTTTCTAAAATCAAGAAATGGATAGATATTCTAGTCTTCTCAGATAAGGACAAATAAACCGTAAGCCCCGTCTCCTGCATGAGTTAGGGGTAGGAGACGTTAATTTCCCACGCACGAGATTACTCTGCGGTGGATGTCCTCCCCTGGGTGGGATGGGTGGGAATTGGCCCTGAAAAGCCCCTATGGGGAGTGGTCAATTAACCTATGTATGTATATATGTACAAGGGAATGGTTTTGTCTCCTTTGGACCCAAGCCCAAGCCCAAGCTAAAACCCACCACCCCCACCCCGTTTGAATTGCCTCAAAATTTTATTTCATTAATTAAAATAAAAAGGATTGCTCTTTCTCTGGAATAGCATTTACAGAACTAAAGCCGTGTGCCAGGAAGGGTTTTCCCCGTTGAAAAATGAAAAAATTGATAGTCGCGATGAAACTGTTTTAGAGGGTGATTTTGAATAAAAATTAAAAATTCAGTTTGGAATCTTTTGAAATTACAACGTTTTCATACAAAGGGTCATAAAATCATCTTACATAGGAATAGTCATGGTATTCATGGTATTTGATTCCGTTTCTATTCACCACGCGAGGATGCGAAGCACATTTTTCGTTGGTTTAAGGGCCTCTCGGAAGTAAAAATTCCAAAAAATTATTTTTTTGGACCTATCAATCACAAGAAACTGAATCTTGTATTTTCTAAAATAGTTTCATAACAGCTTTATATGACAAAGTTTGGGAGATTTCGATTTTTCCATCTTGCACACCTATCCGTGGTGTTTACATAATGTCGCTCTTAAGGGCCTAAGAGGACTGAAAGAAAACAAAATTAAGAAAATAACCTACCCTCAAACCCTGCCCATTATTCGATCATTTTTATAGGGTTGAAAGTATAGACGACAATTCTGCTGAAATTTACAAGTTGAATGTACAAGAGATTTTATTACTTCTTACTTTGGAGGACAGCGGTATGGATGATGGGACCATTTACAACTGTATGCATTGTTATCATTTAAATCACGTTGCTGTGTCTGGTCACTAATAGATCATAGATGGAGGAAAAACGTGATAAATACAATAGTGACGTACTCGGCTACACCACGTTTTTATTACATTCCATGTTGCTGTGCTTCTGGTCAATAATAGACCATAGATAAAATAAAACGTGATAAAATCAACAGTGACACACTTGGCTGCACCACGTTCAAGTTGATTAGATTCCATCTTGCTGTGCTTCAGGTCAATAATAGATCATAGATGAAATAAAAACGTGATTATAAAAATAACAATGACACACTCGGTTGCACCACGTTTTGATTAGATTCCATATTGCTGTACTTCTGGTCAATAACAGATCATAGAAGAAATAAAACGTGATAAAAACGTCCGCAGTGGCACACTTGGCTGCACTTCGTTTTGTTTTTATCACAGTTTGACGACATCCGTGATCTATTATTGAACAAGCAGCATACTAAGTTATTAAAGTCGAATTGAAATTTCAATGCTACATGCGAAACTTCATTGTCCCTAATCAGTGGTGTTACTAATCATTCCAAAAGCATTTTGTTTGAGAACATCAACCCAGAAGTTTACCGGTCTGGAGTGAGTTAAGTGCTTGGAAATAGAAGATTTATAAATACTTTATGTCATGATTTGCAGAATACAGATCGCTCTTTCTAATCTGATTATCATGTTATGAAGGCATTAGCCTAAAGAACTCGTCAGTGATTGCGCTTTGTCTTAGAGAACGGCTTTAAATGAGTATTGCGTAGTTTATTAAGAGTTGTACTTTATCAAACAACAAGTAAACTATTTTTTAGAGTTAAAATACTGTCTGCAGCAGAGTGCATATTTTGTTTTATTACTCATCGTTCACAACTCAAATGATGGATGAGTATTTTGCTGTAAAGGCAACTCAATAAACGTTATTCCTTTTTTTACGAAATCGTAGTTGAATACTGACAAGGAAATACAAAGTCTTACAGTGTAAGTCGCTCACCTTGTTTTAAGATTTTTATGATCCAAATTTGTTTTTATCGAAGTATCTAACCCAACCTGACTGAATCGAACTGCACCGACGGTTGAACCCCAAGTGTTATGTCTTTTGCATCATATGATTGGTCGACCTTCGAGTATACATAATAAAGCCGCAGGCAATAGATATGACGTCTTTCCGCGCAAAAAGCGTGCATGAAGTCAAATAATGATCCAGGCGGTGAACTCCCATTTGAGTAGTTGCTGAAAAGCCTGATCAAAATCTTGTTTTTCGTAATGATGACCTTTGCATATTGTCATCTGTCGACCTTATTGAAAGTCACGTTTTACCGCCTAAATTTTGGTGCTTTACCACGATGAATAAGCGGCTTTTAATTTAGTTGCCCAAATACGCTGTTTAGATCTCTTTACCATATCATTAAATGTTGCTTGTTATGTTTCTGGGAAATGCTAAGCTACTCGATCGCTAGTCATAACCCGTGTAGCAGGGAGAGTCTTACTTCTCATCACACCTAAAGCTTCCGTGCCGTTCGCGCTCTGAACACCGGTCTCCCAATTTCACCTAATCTGAGCCTTGTGCTAATTCAAAACTTTCAGCCCGAGTATGATAAACTTGTCTCAACATGACTATAAGTTTATCGATCGAAAGGGTTTCACAAATTAAACCTTAAAGCAGTAAGTTTAACGGCCTCACTTGATTCTTTGCCAAAACAGGAATAATCGACAGATCGATATGTCAACGAAGTTGATGGAAAACGAAAGTACGGTGGCAATGAAAGGTAATACAACAGCACTAGCCCGTCACTGGTTCCACTGCACAAAAATGACTAAATAATCCATGGGCACAAATCTGGGCCCACTGCGTAAAAAAGATAAATAATCCTTTGGCAAAAACTTTCTTTATACTAATCCATGTTATACCGGGGAAATAAGTGATTATGAAAGGTAATTATGTCTTTTGCATCATATGATTGGTCGATCTTCGAGTAGATAACAAAACCACAGACAATAGACGTCTTTCCGCACATAGCGCGCAGGAAGTGAAACTGATTTAAATCAGAGTTAATAGAGGGAACTGGTTATGAAAGCTGGCGAACTTCAAACGATAAAAACAGTAGGAGCCCTCTGAGGTTGAAGGTACAAGTCACGTGATCGCGAAGGTGCACACTTTCAAAACAAGATGGCGGATGGAGTAGACGATCTCTCGCTATGGGGAGATGATTTCGAAGTTATATTAGACATTTTAGAAGATGATGAAACAGTCAAACAGCAGTTTGTAGCAACAGTTAACAATGTAAGTTCTAATTGTGTTAATTTACGTGTCTAATTTCTTGCTGCCGACCCAAAACGTTCGCTCGGTTATATATTTGTGGCATGGCAAGTTACTCGAGTCACTCAAAAAGAATTTTACGCCCAAAAATTTTACTTAGATATGCATGTCCTAACTGCAATGACTGATCAGCGTTTCTGTAAAAGCTAAGAATATGTTTTACACTGAATGCCACGTTTAATATGAGAAGTGCCTTAAATAACTTGCTGGAAACAGCTCTTAGTTCAGAGTATCGCATCGAATTTTAGCTGGTTGTAGCAATATGTTGCACGAATCGTAATTTTTCTTTGTTTGTTGTAGGTCCAGCAACATGAAATTATCTGCAAAGACTGTGGGAAAAAGTATGAAACCAAAGGAGGTTATGAACGACACAGAAGGTTGAAACACAGCAGTCTTCACGAGGGATCTATTCAGCCTTTGAGTGTCAGCATACTTGCTGAAGTCGTGGCTTCCGCAATCGGGAAAATAAATGAAGAAGAAGTGTTTACAAAAAGTATGAACTAAGCAAGTATTCTTTTCAACAGCCAGAGGAAGGAAGTTTCGAATTCACTAGTATAAAATAAATGTGATGGGTTTTTAAAGAAGAGACTTAGAGAAGTTTTATCAGAAATATTATGCAACAGTTCCTGTGAAGTCTACACAGTTCTTCACTGGACTGTCAGGGAATGCTGCCACAT